TGAAAGAAAATTCTTTGACATGAAAAATGATAAATTTGTGAAACTTAGTAACTATTTTCTTTTAGAAAACTACAGTTACATTAAGTTTAAATGTCTTACTGCTTCCCAATTTTCTGTCAGGATTCTAACCTAGAAAATGCAGCTAGGTAATTCTTATGTTCTGCAAAATCATTTTTCCCAGAACAAACCAGAGTACCCTTGCTTATTTTACAGCTGGGGTATATGGCACTGGTACTTAGGGACCCATAGCAACATAGAGGGAAGCCAGTGTAGTTCTTCAGGAATAGTAAGATAATGTGTGTGTTTTCCTGAAACGATTACAGTTTTATTGCAATTAGTGAGATTTTTCTATTATGAAGACTTACTGAAATGTACATTGAGAAATACTTGGGATGAGGAACTTTATTAGATGCCTATATACATGTTATCTACCAGTAAGGAACAAGACTATGTCTCTCTGAAAAGGGGAAAGAATTCTTTTATAAAAAAGAGATCAGTTGCCCGCAGGCGTGGCTCAGTGATTGAGTGTCAACCAATGAACGAGGAGGTCACAGTTCGATTCCTGGTCGGGGTACATGCCTAGGTTGCGGGCTCAATCCCCAGTGGTGGGGTGTGCAGGAGGCAGCCAATCAACGATTCTCTATCATCATAGATGTTTGTATCTCTCTCTCCCTCTCCCTTTTTCTCTTCCCCTTGTACATGGCATTTTGGGAGTGAATAGCTGATCAATAAAAATATATTTAAAAATGAAAAGAAATCTAACACAACAGTTAAAAAAATAGATCAGTTATTTAATTGGGTTCTTCATAAGAAATCTAGAGCACCGGTTTGTGAGGGAAAAGCACATTTGTGAGAAGAGGCAGAGGGGAGGTAGCCCTGGAGTTGAGGAACAGCTTTGATTTTGGCAGGATGTACGAGTCCACGGCTTTCTGATTAACCTTGCACTGCTCTGTAATCTCGAATATTTTTCTTTCTCTGTTGAAGATCTCACCCTCCTGGTGTCTGGGCTTGCACAGCTTCTCCTTGAAGTAAGCATCAGAGAGATGTTTGGGGATTTTCACACCACGGATATCAATTTTGGTGGTGCTGGTGGTGGCGATGACAGATTTCTTGTGTGCTCCACCCTCTGATTAAGGGACAGAGGTCCAGTCACAAGTAGAAGGCCCCTGGAGAGCTGCTTCGGGGGAACCACCCTCTTGCCTCTGTGGTGCCCAGTGAAGATAAGCAGGATGGTCCTGGGAGTGATGCTGGCCTGCAGCTTTCTCACATGCCCACTGAAGGGTTTCTTACCCTGGCTCAGCGGCTTTCGGGGCACATCTTGAAAGCATAATATCTAGGCATTTTTGCAAAATTTTACCACCGTTCTTGTCACCACCAACTGGTTTTGTGACAATAGCAAGAACTTTCTTCTAATCGGGGATTTAGCTGCTAAATACTTCCTCTTGTACATGGCTTTTCGGGAATGCATAGCTGATCAGGACTATCTGCCAATCCCTCTGACCAGGACAGGGTTTCACATGCAGTGGGGCTTCCCGTTCTTAGGCATCTTGGCCTTGAGGTTGCACTTCTTAACCTTCTTAACCTTGCCACCAGCGTCAGCCTTCTTGGTTCAGGTTTCCTCTCCTTAGTACCTGTCTTCTCAGTCTTTTTCACCACCCTTGCAAGACAGGAGAGAGAGTTCTTACTTATGGAATACTTTATAGGTTTTTGTTTGCTTTAATATATTTTAAAATAGTTCCCTGACAATCTTCGATGAATGAAATGATGTTTACAAGATGTTTAAATTCAGTAAGCTTCAGTTTTTGTTCATAAAATCCACTTGTGATTTTGACCTACCTTGGACTCTGAGCAGCTTTCCTAACCACTGGTATAGAGAGAGAATTGGGGATTACAGGTTGCTTGAACCCAAACAAGATTCATTATTAACATTTTGCCTTTCTTGTATAATGAAACTATAGTAACAATGCTAGCGTAACCAAATTTGTTCTTATATGACTTGTCATGGATAATCATGTCCACTGTATAATGGTTTGCAATGACTTAATATATAATAACAGGATGGAGATATATATATATATATGAGATAGGAAACTTAACTCTGGGTTTAAGTCTCCTGTCTTGTAAAACCTGGTGGTTGGGTAGCTTTTATCACAAGCCTTGTAGTGTATAATTAGTTACATCATTGAGAAGAGGACATAGAAACTTCTGGATTGTGTGAAATCATATACTGTTAGTAAGTTCTTTGTTTCGTAGCAGTTTAAAATGGAGTTGTACACCTGCCTATTTTAAAGTTGTGGTTTTTGTTCTTAATTAATAAGACAGGCAACAATTCATTGTCTAAACCTGTGGACACTGGAGAGCTAAATTCACAGAGAAAGAGGAAGTGACTTAAATTATAATTTTGAAGAATAGATATGCAGTAGAAACATTTTGGTGTTTGATGATCTTTCTGTATGAGGAGAAAAGACACTTAGGGCACTAGTGTGTCTTATTTTCAAACATCTCAAAAGGAAAAAAAAGGATTTGGAAAGGTGCCATGGCTCTTTCCTTCTGATCTTGATTGGCTGCCTCCTGCACGCCCCCTGCTGGGGATCAAGCCTGCAACCTGGGCATGTGCTCTGACCGGGAATCAAAACGCGATCTCCTGGCCGGGCCAGGTCAGTATCTTGATGATAACAACTGATATTAATTCCATAAGCCAGAGGAAGCTATGAAGTACGAGCCATAATAATGGCAATTAGGAAACTAGGGCTGGGAGATGTTAAATAACTGACACAAAGCAGAGCTGAGGTACAGTAGACGGGTTTGTTGCCCTTTGGACCCTGTTTTGCTTACAGCTCCTACCTCTGAAAGCCAGAAGTAACATCATCATCTGTCTTGGTGTAAACTCAACCTTTATCTTGCTCATCCTGTTGTTGAAGGTACCCACTTAAGGGCAGCGGGAAGTACAAAATGAGTAGAAAAATGGTGAAAGGTCGGTGCTAGTTTGGATGATCTGTATATATGTGTGTGAGACATTGTAACATATAATACACACATAACGTCATTTGCATTAATATAAACAGTATGCTGTTATATGACATAGGAATCATCTGTGATTCCTCTTCTGCCCGTATTTTAACCCATCTACAAGCCCTGAATGTTCTATCTACAGACCACATTCCTAATTTATCCACCTGTCTCTGCCTCTAATGTTAGAACTTTAGTGTAACATTGGTCTTGCCTGAACTATTGCTCACTTGTAATCTTTCAGAGGGTAGAGTAGCTAGAGTGATCTTTTTTACAGCCTAAAGAGATCGTGTTGCTTTCCTGCCAAATCTGCTTCAACAGCATTTTAATTTAGAGAAAGTCCAACTGCCTACCATCTATCCTTGCTCACTGTGCTTCAAACATGCTGACTTGATGTTTTTCATACTTTCGAAGTTCATTGACATCTTGAGTCTTTGTACCTACTGTTTCCTCTACCTGGGTTGACACCTTATCATTTAGGTCTCAGTTCAAATGTCAGCATCTCAATGCAGCCTTCCTTGACTAATCTAGATACCAGCACCCCAATACTTCCTTATGTTATTGTGTTTTGTTTTCTTAATAGTTCTTATTATCCTTTTAGTGTTATGTTAATGGAATTGAAGTGAATCCTTTCCATCTATTTTGTCCCCACCAGAATGTGAACTTCTTGAGAGCTGTGCCTCCTGTGCTTAGAGTAGTGTACCTGGTATTTAGTAGCACAATTACAATTGATTGGATGAATAAAATTTTCATCTCTCTTTAACATTGTATTGTGAATTTCCCCCCCACAGTTTATGTATTCAGAACAGGAGTTGTGAACTCTTGATCCACAGTCCAGAACTGGCCTGAAGACACATTTTATCTGGCTTATTAAAAAGTGTTGTTGTTTAAGGTACAACTTATAGCAGTCAAATGTACAAATCTTAAGTGTACAATTTGATGAATTTCATGAATGTGTATACCTACATAACCACCTTTCATTCAAGGCTCGCTCATATCCTTCCCAGCCACTCTCTCTTTCCACAGGATAACTTGCATAGTTCATCTTTTTAATTGACTTCTATCTTTAAAGATTGGGAGATTTTACAAAATATTCAGAATTCCAACATCTTAAAAAATGGAAAGATGTAGCAGCAAAGGACCTGCTTTCTCTTTGGCCACAGTTTGTTGGAGCTGAGACGCAGCTGTCCGGTGTTGGCATGTGCTGTCCAGTGTGCCTCCAATCGTACCTCACCTCCTGCTATCCTGACCTTGAATTCAATTTCTAGTTGCCATTTATAGTTTCATTGCATTTTTATGAGGGAGAAATATTTATTTGTTCAATTACTTCTGTAAAAAATGCAAACATGAATGGTAGACTAAAAAAGGTTATTTGTTTCTTGGTCTACTTCATTCATGCGCATTTCTTGAATTTTATGTAGTTAGGCACCCTAATTCTACTTGGTTATGTTTAATGGTTGCACAGTGTCCCACTGCATAAATGTATCATGTATATAAACAGTCTCCTGTGGAACGTATAAGTTATTTCTGTTTTTATGATATTGTAAAAGAACAATAGATGAATATTTTATAAAAATCATTCTATTAGGATAAAATTTTAGAAATGGAATTTCTGATTAAAAAATATTTTTATTTTAAGAATTTTGATACAGATTGCCAACCAAATTGCTTGGTGGTAATATAAGTTCATATAATCTTTCTGGAGAGCAATGTATGGGAGTATTCATTTCTCTGCATCTATGTCAACATTGGGAATTGTAATGAAAAATAAAAGTTTTACCAATATAGTTTGTAAAAACAAAAAATGGGAATGCTGGCCAAGAATTTTTTCATCTTGTCTATGTATATATGAACATTATTTTATTTTAAAGGATATACTATAGAACAGTGGTCACCAGCCGGTGGTCCACGGACCACTCGTGGTCCGTGAGGTCAGACCGCTGCTATAGAACTATTTGTTACTATAATGCTGTACTTTGGATTTATGTTGTGAGTGAAATCATGTACCGTGTACTTTCTGTATGAGGTAATGTGAGTACGTCAGTATAACTGGAGAAGCCCTTAGCCTTATCCTTACACATGTGTCACAGACATACAGTAATTAATACTGAGTTCTACCATGTTCTTTATGGGTGTACATGAGAATAAATAACACAGTCTTTCCTCTTTGAAGCACATAGAACTAATTCTTACACATTGGTTTTATATTTGCTTTCATATTTTTAATTAGCTGCTGTTACTCTGTGACTTGCTTTTTAAGGAGATGCCTACATAGAAGTGTGACAGCAGCTGAACTGAATGTTTCACTGCTGAACTGGTTCCTCAGGTATCCTGGCTCTGGCAACTGCTATGGGAGATTGGATGACGGTTACAGATCCAGGTCTGTGTTCAGGTGACTGAGTTTAAAATAACTGTAAGCCAAAGTAGTTGTAAAAGTGATTATTTTCAATAAAACTATAAAATAATTATCACAAATATTGAAGATGTGACTAATGAGAGACACAAATAACTGTAAAATGTCTAATTTCCATCTTCAGTAAAATTATTAAGGAGAGCCAAGAATTGTGCCATAATTTGTGGGGTTAACTGCTTTGGGTGGATGATCGATCACTTGTTACTATTTTTGAGGAAAGTTTTATGCATTTGAAATAAATTCATTGGCTGCTTCAATACATTTCTCTGATATATTTCTTTAATTGCATAAACTTTGTATAGCCAAGTGACTTTTGTCTATTATTTTTAGAGGTCTAAAACTTGGCAAATTAAGGTAGCATATTGTAGCTTAACATGCCTATGAAGAGCACCACTTTATAGTTGTGTCTTTTTGGGGAAAAGTATATAGTATATAGTTTTCATATACTACCAGCTTTGTCTTAATTTGAAAATACTTAAGATATTTATGTAATTCAAAATCTTTGGTAATGGAGATTGCTAACTTTGCATGCATTTTAATACATTATTTACATAGTGCCTTTTATTCTTTCAGAAAGCAAAAACATCTCTCAACATACCTCAGAAACAAAGATGTCTCCATCAAGTCTATACTCACAGCAAGTGCTCTGTTCTTCAATACCTTTATCAAAAAATGTGCACAGTTTTTTCAGTGCCTTCTGCACAGAAGAGAATATTGAACAAAGTATTTCATATCTTGATCAGGTAATGGTGGTTTTTTTGTAAGAAGCATTGGTATAAATCAAGTTCTATAATATTGAAGCTATGAGAACACTTGTCATTACAAGTATATTGTTGTGCATTGGTCCAGGACCTGTATGAGATGTGTGGAGAGCCTTGGTGATCGCCTAGCCAGATACAAGGAGCAGGTCGGCCTCCCGTTCCCCGGGGGCTCCTCCACTGGGAGTCTCACCCTTACTTTACTGGTGAAGAAACCTGCCGCCTCGCTCTAAGCGACTGAAAAGATTCCAGTTCTCTCAAATTCTTTTTCTTTGGGATATTTACTGTTTCCTTAACTGTCATAGGATAGTTTTCTCAGAAAATATTTCTATCTTTTGTTTTTTTACTAAGTTTTGTCTGGTAACCAACTTTTAGAAAAACGTTTTGTCCTACCAGGAATTGACTACTTTCGGTTTTCCTTCATTATATGAAGAATCCAAAGGTAAAGAGACAAAGAGAGAATTAAATATAGTTGCTGTTTTAAACTGTATGAATGAGCTACTCGTACGTCAGCGGAAGAACCTTCTAGCTCAGGAAAATGTGGAAACACAAAATCTGAAACTGGGAAGTGATATGGACCATCTGCAAAGCTGCTATGCAAAGCTCAAGGTGAGAATCACGCCAACCTGCACTTCAGTGCCCTTGCTGTGCAATTGATGCTGTACATTTTCTTTGGCTTTATCACGTTTTAGAGTTAAAATTTTTTTGTTTTAGTTTTTTTAAAAAGTAAAAGTGGACTTAAAGTGATTTTTGCAAATCCACATACAGCTTCCTAATATCCCTATGGACAACATTGGTTTCATGAGCTGTTTAGTGACTTGCTGAGTCTGTAGGAAGTTAGCTTAGGAAATATTTATGTCTGAGGAAAATAAATAAAGATCCCCCCACCCCATTTAATCTTGCTTAATAAAGTAGATGCTTAATTTACAGAAGTCTTACTGTGAGAAGCTGCATCAGTTAATTCCAAGAAAAATATTCTAGAGGGCATCTGTGCCCAAGTTGCTTAAAAGCTCAGTAATGGAAGCAGGCCTCATAGCGTCTAACTCTAACAAGTGTCTGGGCTCTAGAGAAGACCACAGAAGAGTGCTTTTGCAAACTTGCTTGTTTCTCTGAACAAAGGAGACATTTCCATAGGGCCATTGACCTGTTACCTTAAAATACAAAAAATTTGTTGCCATCTTCTACTTCGCTTTCATTCTTTTATTTCATTATTTCATTTTATAAAAAAGTCTTAGTTATTCATTTATTTGAGAAGGAGAAGGAAGAAGGAGTTCAAAATCAGTATAGTGGGAACTTATATTATGATTATATATTATGAAGGATGTAATAGAATCAATCCATGGCAAAAATATTTTCTAAAGATGCTAATATTTTGGGTTTCCTTATTTGAGTTTGTGTGTATGTAAGTTTTGAATCTATATACTCCCACAGGATCAGCTTCTGTTTAGTTTTTCTCTTGTTGGTCCATGCCTCTATATTTTTCTTCCTCTATATTCCCCCTCCACCGCACTCCCTTCAAGAACAGATAACAATTTTTTAAAACTCATGCCCGGCCAGCATGGCTCTGTGGTTGAGTATCAATTTATGAACCAAGAGGTCACGGTTCAGTTCCCAGTCAGGGCACATGCCAGGGTTGCAGGCTCAATTCCCAGTGTGGGGCCGGCAGGAAGCAGCCAATCAATGATTCTCTCTCGTCATTGATGTTACCATCTCTCCTTCTCCCTTTCTCTCTGCAATCAATAAATTATGTTTTAAAAAAAACCCCACTTAATATCTTGAATCTCAAAGCTCTGTTGGAGAGTAACAGGATCTCTGCATGCAATATTTGAAAATCCTTTAGTAGGGATTGTGCAATAATGAAGTGGCCTGGAGTGGCCTATATGTGAACACTGGGCGTGTTTGGTAATTGATTTAGAGAAGATCTTAGCTCCTCAACAACACCTGCCCCTACCAGCCCATCAACGCCTAAGGCTAGTTTATGTTGTCTTCTAGCTCATGTGCAGTAATAACAGTATGTTCCCTCTTTAATATTTTTAGGTTTTTGTACATCCTATACGCCTCAGGGATAGAGATGATCCAACTGTGAATCTTGGCAGACTAGGGAAATGTGTGTGTGGGGGTGGGGGGCGGGTACTGGAGGGCACAGATTGTACCCTCCAGGCTTATTAAAAGGCTGCAAGTTGTGGATACTACTTTAATCTTAATCAGAGAGACCTATAGAAGGTCTAATGAATTAGAGTGAGTCAGAATTTTGAACCTTAGACTAAGATTTAAAACTTTTATATTTGGGCACTGTTGGCCAAGTGTCTTATAAGTAGCTGTTGAATAATTGCGTAATGATATTGGTAATTTGGAGCTATTAAGCCTTTTCTCTAAGAAGTAATCATTTATTAGGACTACCCAGAGCATGGAATATTTTACAGGATACCTTCTAATTTAGGACTTGACCTGGGTCAAATCAGATATTTTGGGTCAGCTGTGGACAGAAATGTGTGTTCAGTGGGAAGAGTTGCTGATCTATCTTTGAAGAGCTTCTAGATCTAGCATATGATTCATTTAATTTCTTAAGCAAAATATATTGAGTATGTACTAGGCATTGGGTTTCAAAGATGAGTGAACCCAAGCCCTGTTTGCAAGGAGATTGTAGTCCAGGGGAAGGAGACATATGAACCACAGTTACTTGCTTTACTGATTATTGTTGGTGTAGGCAGCAAGGAAAACGCTTCAGGGAGAGGTCACAGCACTTTATCTGAGATTTGAAGACCGCATAGAAATTTGCTAGTATTTGGAAAAGACATCTTAGGCACAGCATATAACCTGTATAAAAGCATGGAGGCATTGGAGCACATTTTACATTTAGGGAGTCATATAGCTCTGCAGGGACTGAAGTATATGACGCAAGATGAAGAGTGGTGAGCAGTGAGGCTGGGGTCCAGGCCCCAGATGATGTGAAAGGCATTGTGCAGAACCCCGGAGGCTCCGAGGATTGTAAACCAGAGGAAGATATCGTGTAAATATCAACCTGGCAGTAGATGGAGAAATTATGGGGGGGGGGGCACGGATTTCTGTTTGGAATGGAAGTGGTGGGGTGCTCAGGAAGCCTGGTGGAAAGGACACTGTAGCAGGCTTAGCAGTCCCTGACCATGGAGGTTCTGGACTTGAACAAAGATAGTATCAATGGAGATAGTAAGAGTGAAATAGGAAGACAGCTTAGAGGTAGAATGGGTAGAATTTCATGAAAAGTTGAATTTTGGAAATAAGTCATGAATATAAGATACCATTCAGGTCTCTGACTTGAGTTTACCAAGGATGGTGGTATGATTCACAAGAAATGCAGGAGGGCAGTGTAAGATTTACAGGGAAGACGATGAGTTCAGATAGAGTGTTGATAATGACTGAGGGAATCTGTCATCTGACATATGGGACATATCACCTGGCCCACAGGCTACAAGGTCAGCCATGCCAACATTTTTGACAACCTTAGAATTATCCAAGTTTAATAGTCCTACATTTCTGAATCTCCTTGAGATCCATTGTGTGAAAGTCATTATTTGTATCAATTATGACATAACTTGAGTGGCTCTGGTATTTTATAAAGAGGATTTTTAAAAATGCTCTAGTAGTTTCCTGCACAACTTGACACAGTTTCTATAAAAACGTGCAAAATGAATTGAAAACGGGCATCTTGCTCCATACTGATTCCAGGATCGCTGCCATTTCTCTCTGGGAAATCTTCAGTTTGCCGCCTGCGAGGGAGAAGTGGTGGCACGCAGTGGTCCCACCCTCTCTGACCTGAAGTGCTCCTCTCTGCTTGCTCAGCAGGCTTCCTCACACTTAGCTTTGAAGCATTTTTGGCTCTTTCTCAGAATGTGCTATAGAAGGTTAAAAAGTGTTAAAAAAGAATTTAAAAAAATATTCAGTGGAATAAAATATTCACTGCAATAAGTGAAGAGTCTTTTAAGGGATCCATTTTGAAGCTCTTTTGAATAGGCATAAAATTTTGGTACATAAATTAAATAAAATTTGATACTTAAATTTAAATAATTCGTAGGACTTTATAGTGTCGAGCTTTATAAGTGCTTTAAAAACATTTTGTGTACCTCTAAAATTCATTTGTAGTGAACAAACACTAGTATGTATTGCTTGTTTTCACTAATCTTTCAAGAATTCACTTGTTCTGAAGCTATGTTAATTGTAATCAAAATTGCACATGAATGTTGTAGGAACAACTGGAAACCTCCAGGAGAGAAATGATTGGGCTTCAGGAAAGAGACAGACAATTACAATGCAAGAACAGGAATTTGCATCAGTTGCTGAAAAATGAGAAAGATGAGGTGAGTTGTCAGTTATTATAAAGTTTAAGTGATTTTTTAAACGTAATTTGAGGTGAACATAAGAGCCACTTCACTTTAAAACAAGCAAGGACACTTTATTCATTCTGTGTCAAGCTGGATGGCGGGCCTCTGTGTACAGTACTGCATCATATTTAACTGGGTCAGGAACCCTCCCCACAGTCCCCTCTGCCACGTGGATCCATTGGCTTAGGCTGGTTAGTCGTGGCTCGTGGCAGCCAGTGTCCTCTCCCACCCACCCTGGGTGCACAGGCACCGTCACTTCTTCTCGGGCACACGGTGCTCTGAATGCAGGTCATTTATTGCCTGCCACACCTGTGCTTCATATCTGGCTGCTGCCTCTTGCACCCTCTTAAATATTGACTTTGTTCATCCAGTCGAGCAATTAATTAACTGAACACAAGTGATTGTTTAAAAACACAACTCACATTTAAAAATCTAATTTATGAGGCTAAAGATGTTATAATTCTAATCTCATTTCTACTTTAGTGGTTACTTAGTATTTGGACCTATAGAGTTAATGCCTTTGAAATTATTTTTAAATTTATGTAAGAAGAAACCATTATGTTTTTATTGCTGTGCAGTTTGATCCTTGACCATGTGATAACTAAAAATAGAATACTTAGTATAATTTCAGTGTTGTATATATTGTTTTAACTATAATTAAGGACTGTTAGGGGAGCATATTTATTTAAGGACCTTGCAGTGATTTAGACAATTATTTTACCATATTTGATTATTTAATAGTATATATAGTAAGTGGTTAATGATGTATCTTAACCCTAAGGTTGCTTATATACTTACTTGAGTTCTCAGAAAATTTTGACTTGATCTATTGATTACATGTAAGTGATTTGAAAATAGTTCACCTTCAGTAAGGATTAAGTTAAGCATGATCATCTGTAGCGGGTATTAAGGATGTCTGCGTAGCCTGGCTAGTGTAGCTCAGTGGTTGAGTGTCGACCCAGGGACCAAGAGGTCACCGGGTTCAATTCCCAGTCAGGGCACATGCCTGGGTACAGGCTCCATCCCCTGGGGGGCAACTGGGGGGAGGTGTGCAAGAGGCAGCTGATCTATGATGTTTCTCATCAGTGTTTTTATCTCTGTTCCTCTGCCTTCCTCTCTCTCTAAAAAAGCAATAAAAACATACTGATATATAAGAAAAAAGAATGTCTATGTAGCCCTCGCCAATTTTTCTCAGTGGTTAGTGTCAGCCCAAGGACCGAATGGTCTCGAGTTCAATTCCTGGTCAAGGGCAAGTACCTTGGTTGTAGGTTCCCCAGCCCAGTGGTCGTCAAACTGCGGCTCGCGAGCCACATGCGGCTCTCTGGCCCCTTAAGTATGGCTCTTCCACAAAATACCACGTGCGGGCGCGCACGTACAGTGCAATTAAAACTTCGTGGCCCATGCGCAGAAGTCAGTATTTTGTGGAAGAGCCACACTCAAGGGCATTTAATAGATACTCAGCAAATTGAATCGGATTCTGCTGTTTGTACTTACTCTAATTTGAGAACTGTTTATGGTCAGAAAAAAATGAGCCTGTTTACCTGCTGCCATGAACTGAACCATGGCTAATCTGCCTTGTCACAGATTGATAAGGAATAAAGTGATTCAAGTCATTCCTATAAGGAAGTCACTATAAATGATCAGGTGCATTCTACTTGTTTCAGATGAAGCTTTAATCACTAACATTTCCATAAATGATTTTCTGGCTTCTAAGTGATCAAGAGTTATATATGCAGAGTGAAAGGTGCCGAACAGCAATTTTCAACTGGTGTGCCACAAGGATTTTTAAAACATGCAGTACCTGACTATTTATTTAGTCAGGGGCACTGACCTCTTTCCTTAGATTGTCAAATAAAAAATTGTGCAACACAATAATAGTTGCCCAATGTGAATGAATCAAAATTATACTCATTTTTTGTCAGATCAGCCAAAAATATAATATTTTTAGTTGTGTGCTACAGAATTTTAGTAATTAGTTGATGTGTGCTGAGATGAAAAAGGTTAAAAATCATTGGTGTAGAAGATAATTTAGAAAGTTAGCAACGATGGAAATTTCAGAATTAAAAATAAAAGTTTGATGTGATTCGTTTAAATGATATTTTATTTTAAAATATATGTTTTTTATTGATTTCAAAAAGGAAGGGAGCAAGAGAGAGAGAAACACCAGTGATAAGAGAGAATTATTGATTGGCTGCCTCCTGTGTGCTTCACACTGGAGATCAAGTCTGCAACCCAGGCATGTGCCCTGACCAGGACTTGAACCGTGACCTGGTTCATAGGTCGACGCTCAACCACTGACCACACTGGCCAGGCTAGATGATATTTTAAAGAGTGATTTCCAGTGGTTATGGAGAAGCGAGAATAATCCTAGAATTTTTTAACTATTTTATGGGGAAGTGAATGCTAGGACCTTTTTTCTCTTTTGAATTTGTGAATTTTAATTGGGTTTATCAATCCTAAAGGGACACATTTGTTAGAAATTCTTTTTTCAGGTACAAAAATTACAGAATATCATTGCAAGTCGAGCTACTCAATATAATCATGATATGAAGAGAAAAGAACGTGAATATAATAAACTAAAGGAACGTCTACATCAACTTGTTATGAACAAGAAGGATAAAAAAATAGGTAAGAAGTGGCTGGCTAAGACAGAACAAGAGGAATAAATAAGCTAATACTATGTTAAGAAATAAATGTAAAAGCATTGAGCACTGTAATTCCTGAAATATTATTTTCATGCTTAAACAATTTTTAAAGATGGTATATGTCCATATAAACTAGAAATTGAGGCAACTGGTAAGGGAAAAAAGAGGTAATTTTGCTTTGCTTATTACTTGCATATAAGAATTGCATTTCTTGGTAACATGGTAGGTGTGGATTAATCCATAGAGGAGAAATAAGCCAGAGAACACACTCTAATCTTCCGTAATAAAGAACCAATAATATTAAAAATCAGGATCAGTTGTTTAGATCAATAGAAGTATGCTTTTGAGAAAATAGTTCATCAGACTAATAATTTGTCAGTTTGAGTTCCCTTAAATTGAGTTGTGCATTTTGAAACAACTATTCAAGAGGATGAACTATGAAAGTTATGCTTATATTTGTGTGGACTAGTATTTTTTTAATTTATAATTTACTTCATGCCAATATATGAGTAATTTCAAGTAAACAGCATAGATTGAGAAGCAGATGTATACATACACAGAAGTAGAGTACACACATAGTCTCTCTGGCCTGATGAGATTCAGGGGACAGGGAACGTGTGCGTTTATTTATTGAAGCATGGTTTCTAGTGGACAGTAGGCGGTCCTGTAATCTGTACTGTACAGGCGCACCCCTAAGCTGTCTTTCTAAACTGAACTGGGACTTGCATACAATAGCTGACGAGCAGATGTTTCCATCTGTCACCTGGTGGGCTCTGTCTGCTACCATCCAGCGATCAGTGTTGACCGTATCACTGTCATGCTGTATAGCAGAGGTGTTGCAGCTTTTCAAAGATTTTTTTATTTTTAAAATCATTGAAAAATGAAAGTGTAATAAGCAATTAAGACAAGGATGAAAATCTCTAGGTATTCTGAGGTAATAAATCTAAAATTGCACTTGGACACTCATTGGTTTTTAAGGGTGGTTAACCGTGTGTTCATTTATGAAGGAAATAAAATTAAAGGATGAAATGCTAGAAGTATAAAATGTATCGCCTAGTTAGAGAAGTTGATTAAAAATGTTACTCTGGTGATAGAGCCCTTATTTTATGGGGGGGGGGGGTGGCTGTTTCACCTTATCCAAACCCAGTTGGAAGTGACAGGTTCATAATGATTTTATCAGTTCTAAAATGACAACTTACTCCCATCTTTCTTCTTATGTCAACTGCTTCCAACTCCGTGTGGTGCAGACAAGGCATTAATGCTGGCACAGGGCTTCCCGATTGACTCCTTTACCGATGCTGCTGCTACAGGGCTTGGCAAACTTCTTCTGTAAAGTTCAAATACTAAATATTTTTGGGTTTATGGGGTCTAACTGATTCATCTCTGCCAATGTAGCACAAAGGTAGCTGTAGACAGTATATAAGCAAATTGTATGGCTGTGTTCTACTAAGACTTTATTTATAAAATCAGGCAGTCAGCATGTAGGCCCTGATGATAACATTAATGATAATAAGATAACATTTATTAGGTATTTACTGTGTTAAGTGCTTTAACATTTCTTTTGTTCTTCACAACTTCTCGTTGGTATATACTTTCACTATTACCTGTATCGATGAAGAAACAGGCTCAGCAGTTAAATAACTTGCCAAGATCTCATGATGAAACCGTAATTTGAAATCTGGGCTGATTGAGCCCAAAACAAAGTTCAGTCTATATACCAGGTTGACTTACGTCCTTGATGCATTATGGAATGTATTAGGGTTTTAAACACTTAAACGTGTGTGGTGAGGATTGGTTTGTTTTGTGTTCTTGTAGCTATGGAAGTTTTAAATTATGTGGGGAGAGCTGATGGAAAAAGAGGCTCTTGGAGGACTGGTAAAAGTGAAGCAAGGTAAGGTCCAATTTAAATTGATAAATTCAACCGGACTCTTCTTTCTGTGCTGCATTTTCATACTGACAGTTTCTTTTTCAGGAATGAAGATGAAATGTATAAAATTCTCTTGAATGATTATGAATATCGTCAGAAACAAATCCTAACAGAAAATGCTGAACTTAAGAAGGTTCTTCAGCAAATGAAAAAGGAAATGATTTCTCTTCTTTCTCCACAAAAGCAGAAACCTATAGAAAAAGCAGATGATAGCACAGGAACTGTAAGTGGCTCTTCCTTTCAGATTGCTAATTAGAACTGCTGAGCCCTGACTGGTTTGGCTCAGTGGATAGAGCATCGGCCTGCAGACTCAAGGGTCCCAGGTTCGATTCCAGTCAAGGGCGTGTACCTTGGTTGCGGGCACATACCCAGTGGGGAGTGTGCAGGAGGCAGCTGATCGATGTTTCTCTCTCACCGATGTTTCTAACTCTCTATCCCACTCCCTTCCTCTGTGTAAAAAGTCAATAAAATATATTTAAAAAAAAAAAAAAAGAACTGTTGAAGCAACAAACAGGTATTCTCCATGGGGCATTGTTGATATTTTGGACAGGAGACTCTCTGCTATGCTACCCCAGTCACCGTGACAACCAAAAAAATGTCCATTTCCAGATGTGTCCTGGGAAATTGATGGAGATTATTTTCTGATGACATAATATGTGCCAAACACTGTCATTATTTTTATAAGCATTGTGTCATTTCATTCTTCTTATAATTTGACTAGAGGCCCGGTGCACAAAAATTTGTGCACAGCCTGGCTGGTGATCAGGGCCATCTCACCCAGTCCCAACAGGAGACAGGGACCAGGTGAGGTTGGCTGGGCTGCGGGGAGGGGCCACG